TCGCATTCGCGATGACAGTCGCAGCGGCAACGGCAGTCGCAGTCACAGCCTCAGCCTCAGCCTGCCTCCTCCTCCTCCTCCTCTTTCTCCTGCTCCTTCCTCCTCCTCCTCCTCCTCCTCCTCCTCTTCCTCCTGCTCGTCCTCGTTCTCGTCCTCCTCGTCTTGCTCGTCCTCCTCCTCCTGGTGCTCTCTCCTCCTCCTCCTCCTCCTCCTCCTCCTCCTCCTCCTCCTCCTGGTGGTCCTCGTTCTCCTCCTCCTGGTGCTCTCCCCCCCCCTCCTCCTCGTCCTCCTCCTCCTCCTCCTCCTCGCCTTCCTCCTCCTCTTCCTCCTCCTCCTCCTCCTCCTCCTCCTGGTAGTCCTCCCCCTCCCCTCCTCCTCCTCCTCCTCCTCCTCTTCCTGGTCGTCCTCGTTCTCGTCCTCCTCGTCTTGCTCGTCCTCCTCCTCCTGGTGTCTCTCCTCCTCCTCCTCCTCCTCCTCCTCCTCCTCCTGGTGGTCCTCGTTCTCCTCCTCCTGGTACTCTCCCCCCCCTCCTCCTCCTCCTCCTCCTCGTCCTCGTCCTCCTCCTCCTCCTCCTCCTCTTCCTCCTCCTCCTCTCCTCCTCCTCCTCCTCCTCTCCTCCTCCTGGTACTCCTCCCCCCTCCTCCTCCTCCTCCTCCTCCTCTTCCTGGTCGTCCTCCTCCTCCTGGTCGTCCTCCTCCTCCTGCTCGTCCTCCTCCTCCTCCTGCTCGTCCTTCTTCTCCTGCTCCTCCTGCTCCTCGTCCTGCTCCTGCTCGTCCTCGTCCTCCTGGTCTTGCTCGTCCTCCTCCTCGTCGTGCTCTTGCCCCTGCTGAAAATGTGGCCCAGGAATGGGAGTTCTGGGAAGTCGAAGAGCACGAAGTTGCCTACAGTTGGCTACGGGCATTCAAAATGTGGCCCGGGAATGGAGTTCTGGGAACTCGAAGAGCACGAAGTGGCCTACAGTTGGCTCCGGGCATTCAAAATGTGGCCCGGGAATGGAGTTCTGGGAACTAGAAGAGCACGAAGTGGCCTACAGTTGGCTCCGGGCATTCAAAATGTGGCCCGGGAATGGAGTTCTGGGAACTCGAAGAGCACGAAGTGGCCTACAGTTGGCTCCGGGCATCCAAAATGTGGCCCGGGAATGGAGTTCTGGGAACTCGAAGAGCACGAAGTGTGTGACTGTTGCATCCGGGCCTCCAGAATGTGGCCCGGGAATGGAGTTCTGGGATGTCGAAGAGCACGAAGTGTGTGACTGTTGCATCCGGCCCCCAGAATGTGGCCTGGGAATGGAGTTCTGGGAAGGCGAAGAGCACGAAGTGTGTGACTGTTGGTGAAAAACGAGCCCGGCACCATGCCGCCCGGCAACGCCCCAACACCTGCCCGGACCCCCCTGTGGAGTGATCTGTGAGCTCTTTTGAGACCACTAGAAACCTATCAGTCTTCGCTGTTAGGTAAAAATCCAGTTGTCGAATTCTGCTGTTCTCGCAGTCGTAGTCGCATTCGCGATGACAGTCGCAGCGGCAACGGCAGTCGCAGTCACAGCCTCAGCCTCAGCCTGCCTCCTCCTCCTCCTCTTTCTCCTGCTCCTCCTCCTCCTCCTCCTCCTCCTCCTCCTCTTCCTCCTGCTCGTCCTCGTTCTCGTCCTCCTCGTCTTGCTCGTCCTCCTCCTCCTGGTGCTCTCCTCTCTCCTCCTCCTCCTCCTCCTCCTCCTCCTCCTCCTCCTCCTCCTGGTGGTCCTCGTTCTCCTCCTCCTGGTGCTCTCCCCCCCCCTCCTCCTCCTCGTCCTCCTCCTCCTCCTCCTCCTCGTCCTCCTCCTCCTCTCTCCTCCTCCTCCTCCTCCTCCTCCTCCTCCTGGTAGTCCTCCCCCTCCCCCCTCCTCCTCCTCCTCCTCCTCCTCCTCTTCCTGGTCGTCCTCGTTCTCGTCCTCCTCGTCTTGCTCGTCCTCCTCCTCCTGGTGTTCTCTCCTCCTCCTCCTCCTCCTCCTCCTCCTCCTCCTCCTCCTGGTGGTCCTCGTTCTCCTCCTCCTGGTACTCTCCCCCCCCCTCCTCCTCCTCCTCGTCCTCGTCCTCCTCCTCCTCCTCCTCCTCCTCCTCCTCCTCCTCCTCCTCCTCCTCCTCCTCCTGGGTCCTCCCCCCCCCTCCTCCTCCTCCTCCTCCTCTTCCTGGTCGTCCTCCTCCTCCTGGTCGTCCTCCTCCTCCTGCTCGTCCTCCTCCTCCTCCTGCTCGTCCTTCTTCTCCTGCTCCTCCTGCTCCTCGTCCTGCTCCTGCTCGTCCTCGTCCTCCTGGTCTTGCTCGTCCTCCTCCTCGTCGTGCTCTTGCCCCTGCTGAAAATGTGGCCCAGGAATGGGAGTTCTGGGAAGTCGAAGAGCACGAAGTTGCCTACAGTTGGCTACGGGCATTCAAAATGTGGCCCGGGAATGGAGTTCTGGGAACTCGAAGAGCACGAAGTGGCCTACAGTTGGCTCCGGGCATTCAAAATGTGGCCCGGGAATGGAGTTCTGGGAACTCGAAGAGCACGAAGTGGCCTACAGTTGGCTCCGGGCATTCAAAATGTGGCCCGGGAATGGAGTTCTGGGAACTCGAAGAGCACGAAGTGGCCTACAGTTGGCTCCGGGCATCCAAAATGTGGCCCGGGAATGGCGTTCTGGGAACTCGAAGAGCACGAAGTGTGTGACTGTTGCATCCGGCCCCCCAGAATGTGGCCCGGGAATGGCGTTCTGGGATGTCGAAGAGCACTTTGTGTGTGACTGTTGCATCCGGCCCCCCAGAATGTGGCCTGGGAATGGAGTTCTGGGAAGGCGAAGAGCACGAAGTGTGTGACTGTTGGTGAAAAACGAGCCCGGCTCATGCCGCCCGGAAACGCCCCAACACCTGCCCGGACCCCCCTGTGGAGTGATCTGTGAGCTCTTTTGAGACCACTAGAAACCTATCAGTCTTCGCTGTTAGGTAATATGCGTATGTATATATATGTGTATAAAGAAACAACTCGCGAGCGCTAAACCGGGACACGCTTAGGCGAATTACAACCTGGCGTAGCAGGTGGATGGACTGGATGAAAGCAGTCGTTTGCAAGTGAAATCAGCAGCTAAAGCAAATACACGCGGAAGAAAGCCGAGGCAAATGCAATGCAATGCAACGCAAGAAGCGGAGGAGGCGTGCACAACTTTAAATCCGCAGCCCAACTGTAAGGGCGGGACGCGGGGAGCAAAGGACACGATGGGAAAGGGAGAGAGAGAGAGATATATATATATATATATATATATATATAGAAACAAAAATTATCCTGGCGAAGGACCCAACCATCTGCAATTGTGGGTACCGCAATTGTAAACGTCTTCTTCGGTGGAGCTCCTGATGGGGCAACGAAACGCTCTGTACTGGGTGGGCCAAAATGCCAAAGTCATGCGTCCCGGACGGTCCCACTGGGGGCTTTGGTGGAGCTCCCTATGGGGCCACGAAACGCTCTGTACTGGGTGGGCGAAAATGCCAAATTCTACGTCCCGGACGGTCCCACTGAGGGCGTTGGTGGAGCTCCCTATGGGGCCACGAAACGGTGTACTGGGCGGCTGAAAATGCCAAGTTCATGCGTCCCAGGCGGTTCCACTGTGGGCTTCGGTGGAGCTCCTGATGGGGCAACGAAACGCTCTGTACTGGGTGGCTGAAAATGCCAAATTCATGCGTCCCCGACGGTCCCACTGGGGGCTTCAGTGGAGCTCTCTATGGGGCCACGAAACGCTTTGTGCTGGGCGGCTGAAAATGCCAGATTCTACGTCCCAGACGGTCCCACTGGGGGCGTCGGTTGACCTCCCCATGGGGCCACGAAACGCTCTACTGGGTGGGTGAAAATGCCAAATTCATGCGTCCCGGACGGTTCCACTGGGGGCTTCGGTGGAACTCCTTATGCGGCCACGAAACGCTGTACTCGATAGGTGAAAATGCCAAATTCACGCGTCCCAGACGGTCCCACCAGGGGCTTCGGTGGAGCTCCCTATGGGGCCACGAAGCGCGTTGTACTGGGTGGTTGAAAATGCCAAATTCTACGTCCCGGACGGTCCAACTGAGGGCGTTGGTGGAGCTCCCTATGGGGCCACGAAACGCTGTACTGGGTGGCTGAAAATGCCAAATTCATGCGTCCCGGACGGTCCCACTGGGGGCTTCGGTGGAGCTGCCTGCTTCGGTGGAGCTGCCTATGCGGCCACGAAACGCTGTATTGGGTTGGGTGGGTGATACGCAGGAGGGAGGAGGAAAGATAGGAAGGAAGGAGGAACGCGGGGACCGTCTCTTCAAAACGAGGACCCAACACCACAGGATAATTGGGAAAAAGGAAGAGAGAGAGAGAGAGAGAGAGAGACACACACACACACACACACACACACACACACACACACACACACGCGCGCGCGCGCACACACAAACAAACAAACAAACAAACAAACAAACAAACAAACAAACAAACACACACACACACACATACAAAGACAGAGCCAGAGCCAGAGCCAGAGCCAGAGCGAGAAAGAGAGGGAGAGAGAGCCATTGAGTAAGTGATAGAGGCAGTTCCATGCGCTAGCGGGGGGCGCAGCTAACGCGGTCTGAGGAAAGCCCCCCCATTCGCCTGTCGCGGCCAGTCATTCCGAGACCAGCTTTGATCTGTTCCCGAGATCACGGCACACCCTGGTGCGCTGAGCATCCCCGCGGCACGCCCGAAGCCCAGGTCGACCATTCACAGGCCACAGTGCGCAAGCACACGCCGACAGCGACGAAGAGACATGTGAACCGCAGCGCGGCAGTGGAACCCATGACGCCAGACTCGCACGACACCTCAAGGAGGTCCCCTTGGACCAGGAGGACCGACACGCACGGAAGGATGTGACGGACGGCACTGGAGCCGAAACATGCAGGAGGGAGCGACGCAATCCTGCCCACAGATCCGTGCTAATGAAGCTGGCCATACATCTTCTGCGATGTGGGGCAAGAGATCCAAAGACGAGAGCGGCTGAGGCCCGAGCATGGAGATCTCCACCTCGTTCACCGGAGCTGGGAGGCTCTTGAGAGCGGTCTCCATCTGCATCCTGTGCTGCGCCTTGCGCAGCTTCTCGGGCATCCCCATGTCCTCATGAGACGCGAGGACAGCTTCCCTAGGGAAAGGGAAGAGCCGACGATGAGGCACACACGGCGTGCACGGTGCTTTCTGGAAATTCTTCACCGCTTTCATCCCATGGACTGACCTCTGCTTTCCAGCTTCAGCGATTCCTTCTTGATTCTGGTATGCCCCTCGCACCCCCGTTGGAAACGCCAAATCATCACCCGCAGAAGCCCCCTCCCTGTCTCTCTCTCTCTCTCTTTCTCTCTCTCCCTGTTTCGCTCGGTCGTTTGTCCCTCCGCCGTGAATCTTCTCTGGCCCTCCCCCCGTCGTCTTTTTCAGGCCTTCGTTCGATCCCCGCTTCTGCAGCGTTTGGGCGTGAGCGTTTGACTCCAACCCACGCCCAAAACTAAAGAAAACCTCTCTCTCTCACTCTCTAGCCACTCGGACGGAGGAGCGCAGGGAAGAAGAGGCGGAGAAGGGAGTGCGGGGGTGGGGGAGGAAGGAGGGGAGGAAGGCGGGGAGAGGCGAGGAGCCGGGTGCGAGGGAAGAGGGGGCCAGGGAAGAGGCAGGAGAGGGGAGGAGGGAAGGCGGAGGAGGAAGAGGGGGGAGGAAGGAGGAAAAGAGAGGCGGGGAGGGGAACGACCGTGCTCGCATCCAACGAGCGCGAAAAACGCCCGTTATCTTTTTCGTCGCCCTCCCTCCCTCTTCCGCTCCCCCCCTCCTCACCTTCTCCTTCCTTTTTCTGGCTTCCCCCGCTCATCCCCCTCCAACGGACGGCCGCTGGCCCCGCCAGGCAAGCCGCCGCGCGGGGGGGGGGGCATCCGCAGCAGGCACCCATGCACAACTAGGCCTGGCCAAGGCCGCCCCGGGTACACGGGCCCCACCGGCCTTGGCCAGGAGAGCCCGTCCAGCATCCTGCTCCTCTGAGGTCTGACTAACCTCTAAAGGTCTTTAGAACCCACACGATAGGGATTAACTAATTATGGATCTGGCGGCCTTGTTGAAGGACTAGGGTCCCACCAAGTGAACGTTTTCTTTTTGGGCGTTTCAACCTTGGGCGAAAGGGGGGGTCTGGCTCTGGACCTCTGCTTAGCGCGACTGTTTACAACATTGCGTCCGATGGGGGAGACTCCACCTGCTTGGAACAGGCGCCAAAAACAGCCAAGATCTACTCAGGGGGGGGAAGGGGGTGCGAGGGCCCGCGCCGATCGGCCAAGCAATGCATACGAAAACGATCACCAATCGGGGGTAACTATTTTTTTGTTTCGCAGCACCCGCCGCGGCCTCAGGAATGGTATAGTCTGTCCGGTGGGACTGCAAGTTATGTGCGGCGAAAGTGAGGATTTTTGGGTTTCCCATTTTGGTCTCTGCAGCCACTCGGGCTTGAGACCTAGGGTTGCACCGGTGGGCCGTGTCCGTCCGAAACCACGCTCGCGCGCAGGGGGGGGCCGCGCGGCGATGGGGCCCTGGGGGCTTGTGGTGCACGCCGTGGTGATCTTCATCGGCGGGGTGCAGACGAGCCGGGCCAACGGATGGCGGCAGTTCGGTCGAGGGCTGAATGGCGTGGATCCCGCGCCGTCTGCGACCGAGCCAGTGAGGCGGGCACCGGGGCCTACTTCGCCCCTCAGCACAGTTCCCAGCCCGAAAGGCATGGGCACCAGGGGCCTGGAGCGAAGCCGACAGCCGCGAAGGCGAGCACAGGGCTTGGGAGGGGGCGATCGCACGCCCCACCGCCAGCCGCCAGAGGGGCGACACCCGGGGTATCTCGACGGGCACGACCACCACGACTACGTGGACTACGGGACGCGCTGTGGAAGGGAGGGGGACTCCGCGGGAGTGAGCCCCCAGCCTACAGCATTGGAGGAGCCTCCGGGCTCAGGCAGCGGGGAAGCAGACGAGCCTAGGTCCGGCGCGCGGCCCTCGGCTGGGCCTGGCGAGCCCGCGCCCGCGCGGCCTTGGGGGTTCACGGCTTGGGCCTTCGAGATCAGCGGGTTGGGGATCTGGCTAAGCACGCTGGAGCGCGTTGGCACGCTCAGGCAGAGTGGGGGGTGGATCGGAGCTGCAGTGGACAGCTTGGGCATGAACCCTTTGGGCTACTGGTGGGGCACAACCGTGCTCTGCATGATGATGGCCGTGTTCACGTTGCTGCTGGGTACCGCCGCTTACTGCATCAACACGGCGATGGCGCCGCTAGCCCTGAGCTATGCTGGGATAGCATGGGCGCTGGGACAGCTTACAGCGCGTTGCCGCTGACGGCCCGCGGGGCCGGAGGCAGCCCTCCCGCCACCCCCGCCCACACTACAGCGAGTGCGGTTCCGTGGGCCTGGAGTGGGTAGAGAAGAGAAGAAGAAGAAGAAGAAGAAGAGCGCGCTGAGTCCGCCGGACGGCCGGCGGGACCCCTAGGAGCAGCGCGGGTGGGCCGGAGCCCGGTTATTGCATGTGGTAGAGGAAGGCGTCTTCCCAGCTGTCCCATAATTTCTGGTCACAGGCATGATATAACCAATGTTTGGTGATACTCCCAGTGGTAATTTGTATAAACTGTGATATGTCGTCGCACCACCGCTTGCGTTGTCGTCCATGTCTGCGTTGTGCTATTCGATTGTCGTGGACTTCTGGCTCCCACGCTGCCGCAAGCCTTGTCCATCTAAGGTTCGAGTGTGTGGCCACTCGCTTTGCCCACCGCCATTTTCGTCTGTAGTATACTGTTGTCCACTCGTCCACGTGAGCCTGAAGTGGGTGGGGATACCAAGACCGCCTGCTACAACAAGGGGGTCCGCGGCTGGGGCACTAACCAAGCCCCGAACCACCTGCTGCTGCACAAGCACGGGCAGGTAGGCCGCGTGTCCTGCAATTACAGTGCAGCTGCGGGCCAGGGAAAGGCACTGTCGAAGCCCCGCCTCGATCGACATGGCTTGACGGCACATATTGACCAGGTACTAAGTTGCACGAGTCGTGCCTGGAGGGCGAACTTGGAGGCTATCGGCCAGGTGCTTCTCTGTCGGACGGTGGGGCGTATGGCGGCACACCCGGTGCACGTCGACCAGTCCGCAGCCATTGACCACACGCAGATCGTAGATCTAGGGGAGCATGGGGCGGCGACGCCCCGCCGCGCCATGCCCCGCCAGCCATGGCCGTGGGACTGCGCAAAGTGGGCGCACTGGTCTGGTGGCTGCTCTTCCGGTTGGGCTGGTCAATGCTCAAAGTGGACGTGCTGGCCCCGCCCGGAGCCTCGCTACATCAACGACACTACGGGCAGCCGGCCGGTGGCCCCGGACTCGGAGAGCGAGAACGGGGCGGAGGAGCCCCCTTGCCAAGCGGCGCGGGCAGGCGTGCAGCTGGCGAGCGGGGCCCGCCCGCTACAGCCAGAGGCGTGCTCGGTCCGAGGGCTCATGGAACCCACGGTCTTGCTGGTTGAGGATGCAGCGGTGTCCGACTTGCCCGTGCCGCGTGCTGGAAAGATGGCGCAGATCTGCCTGGGAGCACATCACGCACAGAAATACTGTTCAACGCTACTGGGTCGCAAATGCAGCATACCGACGCGCCATCGGATGGCCTGTGGAAACTTCCATGACGCCCCCATGTACGGGGAGCACCTGGGAAACGGCAATGGCGCCCCCCTGCGGGTGGAGGCGACGATACGCCCGGGCCTACTCGGCGGTCTCCAGAATGAAGGGGAACTGTGACACACAAATAAATACACACAAATAAAAATATCCCCCATATTTTCCCACATTTTCTGGGTCCTTGTCTTCCCCCCCACTTCCCATATTTTCCTATATTTTCTAGGAATCGCCGATTAATTGTGTCTGTGTGTTTTTTCCCCTCCTGACAGAAGCGTTATGGGCGCGGGGAACTAGCCCAGGGCCGGCGAAGAACTGGGCATCCCAGTCGCAGGGGCACCCGCCGCACGCCGAGGTGGCGACCGCAGCTGCATCCGCCTTCCAGTACGCACCCCAAGCGGCGGCGGCGTCGTCGGCCGCTCCGCGAGGGGTGACCTTTGGGGAAGCCACGCTGGGAGCCGAGGCGGAGGCCGAAGGCTACGACGGTCACCCGCGCGGGACGGGGGCTCCTCCCGCATACCGGGCTGCGCCGCCGCCCACGCCCACGCTGCGGGGGCCGAGGTCCGCCGAGCCTGAGAGTGGCGATCGCTCGCGGTCAGCAGGAAGGGGACACGCGGCCGACAGGCTGCTGGCGCAGCAACGGCTCAGGAGAACTTCGCAATAAAGACATGCCCGAATTTCGGCGATCGGACCGAGACAGGAGCCCAGCCTTGGCATCTCCTCTTGGTGATCATCGGGACGAGCCTGGAGGGTATGCAGGTCGAGGCGCAGGCGTCAGACATCATGCGGCACCCCAGCCCGGTCGGCAAGGGCCGGTACGACGCCGACTGGATCAATCGGTTGCTCTAAGAGGTCCCGATGGGCATGAGCGAGCTGGGCGTGTGAATTGTGGCGTAGACCATATCCGTCTGCATCAGAGGGACGGCATGGAGGTGAATAACGCCGGGAGCCGCCAGCGCCGGTATCTCCGCCCTACGCGACGGGGCATACTGCAGAGAGATGCGAGGCGCCTGCTGGGTCACCACCACCGCGGTGGGGCTAGGACGCCCACGCACGGGAGCGCGGAAGAAGACTTGCCCCGACCGCCACCGCTGCCACCGCCCCCAGGGCCTCCCCCGGACCACGACGACGGAGGGAGCGCTGGACCCAGTCGAGATCTTCATGTCAGCCCTGCGTGGCGGCACCGACCCCCCCGCTGCATTGGGGACGGTGGCCGAGGTTATGGAGCTGACACTGGACTGGGCGGGGCGCGACCTCCGCAGGGAAGTGGCACGCCATGCCACCACCGAGACGGTGGGAGCCGACGTCCCGCAGGCCCTGGCTGAGCTCAGCCAGGCCCAGCGAGGCCGCGCCGCAATGCGCGATGGCGAACTGGACCCAGTGGCGGCCCAGTTTCCGCGCGCGAGTTCTCGGAACCGCTCTTCGGGATGGAGGGAGCTTACGCTACGAGGGGATCACGATTTGACGCGGGATCTGTTCGGCACAAGCGCAAGCCCGCGCCAGCCGCCGGGATTGCTCGCCACACGGGGCCAGGACCCTATGCGTAGGGGGCGTAGCCTTGCGCTCGACGTAGGTCGGAACCCTCTGTTGGCAAGGGGCGGGGCATTCAGCCGAGGCCCTGGGCGTCTGCTGCGAGGGGACGACACTGGTGGCGAACGCGTGGGAGGCCCAGAGGGTGACGGCGCCGCCCTTGGGAGTCGGAGCGTTAGAGATCGCGAGGGCCATCGAGCAGAACACCGACGCGACGGAACAGGCGGCCCGCGCAGCCGAGAGCGAGCGCAACCCGCGTGGCACGCAGGCTGGGATCGGTCGGGATGATGAGCTGGACGTGTACCTGGCGAGAAGGTCCAACACCCTGGAGGTGGAGGCCTGCGTGGCCATCACTGGGCGGGAGCTGATGGACTCGCTGAAGCGGATGTGTGCCAATTCCAAGAGCACGCGGAAGGCCATAGAGTGGCCCGCGATCGTGACAAACAGGATCGCCTACGGCTTCGCTGCGCTGGCCTTCGGGACAGGCCCCCACGATATCAGCGTCGCGGATTGCATCCCGGCGCGCGATGAGGACTTCGATAACTACTGGCTACCAGACGATGACAAGCTGGAAACACAACAGCAACCCGCATCCCACATGACCACTTGGTATAAAAGAACCTGGTGCGAAATCCAGATGGTCGAGTTGGTACTGGGCGTCGAGCACGGAAGAGACCGGCGAGTGGCATGAGCCCAGCTGGAACAGGCCAATGCGAAGGATCCGACCGAATTTCCAGACAGTTGGGCGCGGGACCTATAAAAGGCGCTGCGGGCCACCTGGGTCGAGGAGCTGCGTGAACTCCGACGCCGTATATGTCGGGAACTCAGTAACGATCATCCGCGCAGGGAGGATGTCAAGATGGCGCTGCTGACCCCTGGTAGCAGCTATCGGTTACCCAGCACGTTCGACCTCAGCGACCCAGATGCCTACTACAAGCGAGTGGTGGTCCCCCGGCGGGAAGCAGCCATGAAGCGGCTAATATTAATATTCAACCAACTGAACGCCCCTCAAAGTACGAGCGCTCCGCTAAGGGGCCTACGGTGGGACAAATGGCCGCGGGAGCGAGCCACGGCCCAGCCGAGGATCCCAAACCCAGAGGCCTGGCGGGGGCGGCGAGCGGCGGCGGTAAGACCGCAGCCAATGGCGGGGGTAAGTTCCAGCCAACCAAGGCCCACCCAGCCGGGAAAACACTCACTACAGCAGAGCGGTCGGTGGCCCATGCCCCCCGCAACAAGGCTAGGACGCCCATTTGCTGGGGAGCATCTACCCATGCGGGCTGCAACCGCAAGCCCGGGGAGGGCACGAACTCGCGTGAGCCCATCAAGAGCCTCAAGGACCTGGACTACACGATGATCATGCAGATGACCCGACGCGGTGGGCTTAGGGGAGGGGGGCCGCGCACAGCGCCGTCCAGCGTGGACGGGCGGATCGAGCAGCTACGCGCCCAAGCCAAGGCAGTGGCAGAGCACGCCTCCAAGGTGGGGGCCGCCGACGCCGGACCCGCAGCCAACGGGACCAAGGGCCCAGCGGGAGCCAAGGATGGAGGCAGCCGCGCGGCAGGAGTATCCGCGGAGGGTAAGGCACCCGCCGCACACGACGACTTGAAGCTCACGGCCCTCGAGGCCGACCTACGGGACGCACTCAAGAGGCCAGACTACCGCTGGCTCAACGACCACGACAGACCGCGCGCTGCGCACGCGCGGGAGGCCCAGCCGACAGGCGAAGCCCCGGACCTTAGGTCGCGGCCCATGGAAGGGCTGGACGAGAAAGGAGTAGTCCAGTGCCTGGCCCGCGCCAGCAACTACCTGCAGAGCCACGTCCGCGGGCGGGCGCTAGGAGCGAGGTTACGGGGAGAGCGCCTGACGGTCGAGAAAGTCCTTGAGGGCCCCGCGGAGAGGGGCCACCGGGGCCTCAGCAATGAGGGCGAGCGTGCTGTGCGACAAGCTTGCTGCGTAGCGGGCCGAACCCCAGAGGGGGGGGCAGACGTGGGCCCCGCCCAGTGGCCGGACGACGGACAGCGCAGGCACGGCAACTACACCTTCTGGGATGCAACTCGGCGGCTGACCTGGAAGTTCTGGGACTACAAGGATCGCTTGGAGCTGGAGCCCAGGTTAGCAGCCACGCTGGGGCTCGAGGAGGGGGAGCCAGAGGAGCGGCAGTGCTTACTGCTGCGCGTGGCGGCCAGCCTCCTCGCATCGCGGGCGGAGCGGCCCGAAACCAATCACCGAATCTCTATCCTCCCTCGCCTCCCCTCTTCCTCTCCCAATCCTCCCTCCCCGAAGGCGCGGGTTAGAAGGATCGCGTCCTTCTGTGAAGCTCCCCTACGTTCG